CACTCTGATTTATCTTCCTCCATCACTGGGAGGTGATCAGCTAGCGCTAACACTGCATCCATCCTACATGCCTGAAATAGCCAGGTTCTGACTGCAAAAACAAACAAAGCATCCCCTCTGACTAGAGGATCTAGAACCAGATTGCAAGCTGTAGCCTGGAAGCCTTCTAGTACCTGCAACACAAACTGAAATGCTGTGACACTTGAAGGGAGTGACCAGAGCTGGAAGGTGTTCCTATGATGCCTAACTCATACAGAAGAAGTGCCAATTTGTGTTTTTCAATCTTGCACTTAGTAGTATCAGATTTTGGACTGACTTCCACAGCTGGACATGAGACATTTTGCAAGCCACAAGTCCCCTTTATCTCAGGATACAAGTTTCTCCTTGGGGTGTCTCTGGATTTATTTGTATTTATTATCACCAAAAAGATAGGAGTATCCCAAGTTTGTCACTACTATTTGTACTCATCTCTGACACAAGATAGATTAATGGTTAAAAATAAAATACAGATTTATACAGAGTCAGGAAGGTCAGATTTCCAATTACAGAGCTAGAAACAAGATTAAAAGTAATTAAGACTTGCATATATTATGTTTAAAAAAAAAGATTCTCTTCAGTATACCTCATCTAGAATGCCTCTGTGTTTTGCTAGCCACAGCAGTTGTGGACTGAGTCCACAGACTCACCCTGTTTTCCATGTGAACATTTCAGACCACACGTGTTTAGAGCTGGCTGGGAGAAGTGACAAACCCTGCCCTGTCCACCCCAGACAGCTCCCTCCAGACATCTTACCTTCCCTCAGCAGGTTCTATTTCCTCATGTACTCCCTCATTTTAAATTATTTCCCCCATTTGCTTTTTTAATCCAGCAAGAACATAACTTCCATAATTTATCTCTTCTTACACTGTTGGTTTTTTTTGTTTGTTTGTTTGTTTTTAATGTTTTCTACTAATATGAATAGTAAAAGTGTTACACTGAAGACACAGGTGCAATGACTAACCTTCAGTATTCAGAACATTCCTTGGTATTGACTTTCTCCTCCCAGGCAGGCAGTCTGTTGCACCACAGCTTTAATCATCTCTTTCTTCCATGGATGCCCAGGACATGGTTTAAAAATGCTTTTTAGACTTGAAATATTTCACATCAGTTTAATATTTTTCTTATTTTAATTTCTTATGGAATGCAGGCATAGGTTTTAGACCTACCAATAGCATAACAGAGTTGGTACCAAGAAATTTATGCTTATAATTTTTCCATTATCAACACCACCTTTGTCAATTTTAGGTGTTTCTGGCATCAAAACATCATGTTCCAACTGGGGTAGAAACCAGCAAAATTCCTACTGACCAATACTCATTGTTTGGTGCATCTCACATAGCCTTTATGTCTTACAATGGTATACCTCAAATATCCTTCACATCTTTCACAAGCACTTCAGCAAGTGCTATTTAGGCAAAACTAGCTATAGCCCGTATCAGAAGCCAGGTAAAAATGCAGCAAGAGAAGATTTACTGAACTATATGCATCTGTAGACTCTTACGCCATATCCATGCACTTCAACATCCTATCTTGCAGCTGCTAGACCACACTTTGCTCACCGCAGAGAAAACAAATGAGTCTCAATTCCAGACATTCTCTGGTTTCATAACAACAGCCATTTAAAATAGAAGAGTCTTTTACATTCACTTCATCATCTTTATCTCACTCTTGTTGCTCTGCCGACATGAACTGTACATTTTTACATTGTCATACCTACAAGCTCAGTCAGAGGAGGACTAGGCTAAAATTCTACTTATGACCCTTAATGGGCTAAACACAGCTGGAGTGGGGGGAGAACGGCAAAACCTTAAATCTCTTTTTCTCCAGGAAAATGAGCAGCAGCCCATATTAAGAGGTCAATAAGGTTGCAAAAATCAAACATTAAAAGTTCAGAAACACTTCAAGGTTCCCTATCCTTCCCCAATTAAATTCTGTTTGGTCATATACATGGCATTGTTATGCAAGACTTCTAATTCAGCTTACAACACTAAGATGAAAGGTTTTTCTAACACATCTACTCCAATGCTTTAAACCTCAAAAATCATGTTTCATCTCTGCTCTGTCAAAAACCCCTTGTAAAATAAGCTAGCTGAAGCCGTACCATAATGTATATAAATGAAGACTTTGCCAATAAACTCAATATTGTGCTAAAAAATTATCCACTGACTAAAACAGCAAATCAGTTTTAAATTTCAACTCAGGACACCAAAAAAATGAAAAAAAAAAAAAACCAAAAAAACAAACCAACAAACAACTCAAACCCAAACCAACTGCTTTGACAGTTGAAATAAGCTTTGGTTGTTAAAGAATTGTTTATACAGAAGCATTTCAAAGCAAAGCCAAATGCCTTTTTTTTTTTTTTTTTTCAAAAACAGACCATAGGCATTGATTTCTATAAGTTCTTATTTTTCTTAATTTTCTTCCTCACAACACTGGAATGATTTAATAAAATTAAATTATTTTTGGCAAAGAGCACTTTCACCAAGATTTGTTTAAATGCTTCTTTTGCCTTTTCTAAATTCAGCGATTGGTTTTACTTACAACCTTCAAGCTTTTGCAACTCTAATTCTACGGTTACATATTCCTCCTCCCCTTTAAAAAACTCCACCCATTTAACAGTACTAAATACAGCTGACAAATTTTGCATTTTTTTTTTACAGGAGCAGACAGGCCAGTGGTTACAGTAAGAAGGTTTACATTGTGAGAGGATGATGGAGAAGAAGCAGAGATGGATTAGGCACAGAGGGAATTAAATAGCAGGACATAGGCTAGACTGGCAGAAGCAAAGATAAACAAACCCCCTTATTTTCATTACCACCAGAGAAGTTTGCCCATCTCTTCCCCAGACGCTTTTCACTTTCCATTGTGCTACCCTTCCTGCCAAAGCTTCCTCAAGCTGATCTTTAGACCATAACACTTTCCCTTTTCAAGGATCTTCAAGGCTCACTGCTACAATTACGATGACAGGAATCAGCTGAAGGGCAACCAGGAAAAATTGCTGTTTGGTACATTTTCACAAAATAACAACAGCAATGCACATAAAAGTTAGCCAATACATTAATTCAAGATGTCAGACATTTGGCAAAATGCTCAGCCCTAATTTACAGAAAGGCACTGTGACTGTGAGCACCCAGGACCACACAGGAGTCCCAGGCTTACAGTCTACAAAGCCATACTGCCATACTCTGCCCAAAAGACCCCAAAACAGGTACAAGCTGATAAGCTGCACCAACCTCACCATAAAGATGAGCTGCATATGGCCCAAACATTTCACTTCAAGCCACCAGGAGATGACAAGCTGCCTTCCTCTGGTTATCAAGAAAGGTTCAACAGGCTCTCCCCCACCTTCCAGTCAATAACAAACAAAACATGCTCTCAGCAGTTGTTAGCAGTTTGAACAGTGTACAAAGCAAGCTCATCCCTTCTTGGGCTAATGGAAAAGGCGGCCCCAGAACATGAGACAAGTGAAAATGGGGAAAAGGGGATGATTCTAAAAACTGCCAAGAGAGTATCAGACAGAATGGCATGAGAAGGAAATGCTATTGTACTCATGAGCTACTCATAACTTCGTATCTGAGCCTCAGGTTTTCCTTTCCCTCAAGAGACAGTTCCTGTGGTAAGCTCAGCAGGTCCCATCTCCATACAGTTATTTTGTGTATTTTTGAAAAAATGATTGGGTGCTCTAAATATCCCCACAGGAAAGGGTCAGTTTCAGAATTCCTGAACAGCCAAATATTAAGTCTATTCTTCAATACTTTGGTTCAAAAGAAAAAAATAAAAATAGTTTGAAAGATTTCCATCTCAGAAAAGCTTTGATTCTGACACAATCAGAAATCCCAAGTGTTACCTTGTCACAAAGACTGGAAATTTACAGCTTGCAGTAAAAAAAGTTATTTGTGTGCAGGAATGACTGCCTGGTTTAAAAAACCTACCCTCTGCCCTTATACTCTCACACACCCAGGCCCATGTTCAAGAGGCAGGCTCCTCACTGGTATTTGAACTTAAAGGGAAGCCACTTCCTCATTAAGACATACCCAACTATGGTAATAACATGGAGAGCCAAAAGTAGTAACAGATTTATTATTACCACTGTGTGGAAATAAAATGTTGGGGTTTTTTGTTGTTTTTTTTTTTTTTTTTTTTTTCCCTCTGTTACTCAATCCAGTTAATTATCCATGCAAAGTAAAGTTATTCCTGGCAGCCACAGAGGCAAAACTAACTTCAATAATGCTGGAGTGGAATGGTTGTTATGCAGGAGGAAAAAAAACTAAATAGTTCAGTAAATTAGCCCAAATAGATACACACTGGGATTGGCCCCTAGAGATTCAAAATACAAAATTCAATGCTTTTAGGCTTATCATACTTTTTATTTAATAGAGAAATGTCTGATCTGGGACTGCATCATATCCCAAAGACACTACAAAGAGGTAATTTTTTCAGAGAGTGCCCTGAGGGTAACAGGAAAAATTACAGAAAGCTTCAAACCATTCAGCTCCCACAAGTATCCCTGCATTCTGGACTTTCACTTAAGCAACAAAGCACAACCAGCAAGGAATCTGTGGTGGTTACGGAATACTTGGACGGGTATTACAAAGCACAGCACTAAATGCTTCAGTAGCGCAACATTTTCCTGGAAAAGCAGTCTGATTTCAGTGAGGGGAGCACCAGGCTGAGACTGTAGCATCTTCTCAATGTTACTGGCCTTAGCAAAGCTCAGCCTGAAACACCGTGTACCCCCAGCTCCTGGGGCATTCCAGAGGTATTATGTGTTTGCTCTTGAAGCTTATTTGTCCTAGAAAATGTCTCCACAGTCAGGGTTTACCTTGGGTTAAAAAAAATAAAACACAAAAAAACCCCAAACCAACCAACAAACAAACAAACAAAAAAAAAACAAAACAAAAAACAACAAAACCAACAACAAAAAAAATCGCAAACAAAAACCCAAACCGAACAACACATACCTATGACAATTGGAGGATGGAGGAATCAAGCCATAGTGGGAAAAAACCCAAACCTACAAAAAGCACACACAAAACAAGAGCTGAAAGTGAAGAAAACCACAGAACTTATTCAAAGCATTTATTTCAGCTGTCCACAGGCACAGTGATTGTATAAACAATGAGCGACGGGAACACAAATGAACACTATGGGAAAAGAAACCCCTCACATTTTTTCACTGCAGTAAAGTACAGACCACCAAGAACAGTTTGACTCAAATACCCAGCATCAGTTCCCACACGAGAGCTGTTATTGTTGGCTTCAACACCCAAGTCCAACAAGAACAGTAAGAACATGCATTCTGCTAATGTTTGAATAACCCTTGCCAACAAATTGATCCCACAGCAGCAAGGCTGTAGGAGATGGGTTCAAATAAATAAGTGAAAGACAGAAAGTAAGTAAAGGGAAAAAACATGCAGCACTATTCTTTTAGTATAAGTGTTCAGTGGGAGCTCTTTTAGTTCCCTTATTTAAAATGGATTGCTTCTCTCCCCTCACCCCTTAGGAAAGAAACAACCCAAAGGGCATTGGTGAGCATCTGTCATTTATATGCAAGGGAGACACAACTGCCAGAGAAATACAGATTCCACAGATGTTAACCCAGAGGACAGCCCAAATTAAGCAAATCTCTAAATAAGGTCTGGGAGGCACTTTCTGAAGAAAAGCAGCATTTTTCCAAAGTAGGCAACTACAGCTGTCAGCTTAACCCCAGACCAGCAGACAACCTTCTATATTTACCTGATTACCCTACAATGAATCCATCACTTCCACAGGTAAAAAAGATGAACAGATCATTGAGATAGGGAGCAATCCCTAGTGTCTTCTGTATTTGACTTCTGTTCTCTCTAGAGATACTATTTTGAAATATCAAAATGAGCTTGACTAGCAAACCTGAAAACCAAGCCCCTATTAATCCAAGGAATCATTGTTGCGACAAGTGAGAAAAGCTCCTCACACACAGGTTAATGGTCCATCCAAAGCTGAGCTAACAGAGCTGTACTGTTCCAAGGGCTTGAGCTTTTGTTTCTGCACTGCATCATATTGTATAACTGCTACCCCAGAACCTGCTTAGCTATTTCCTGCACAGCACAATTATAAATCTACACCTCCAACCCAGTTTCATTGTCACTTCTCAAACCGCCAAGGGAACAAACCTGCAGAAGACATGAACAGAACTGTAATTTTATTCTTATGTGACAATTTCTTCTCTAGGAAGTATAGATTCTTTCTCCAGAAAGAAGTTGAGGACAGCATTGACTTTTGACCATTCCTTTTAGCTACTTTAATTCTTTTTCTGCTCAAACACATTCACCTGTTTGGTATATTTGTTCATCAGATATGCGTACGTGTACACCATGCCACAAGCACAAAGAAAACAGAACAGAGTGAACATTTAAACATACAGTAAATTTATAATTGTTTTAAAACTGCCATGCCCCAGTATAGCCTATTTCCTGAAGAGGTTTCATCCTTTCAATCTTTTCAGTCCTTTACAGATTCTTCATATTAAATAGGACTCTGTATCTTTAACTGTGATTTTCCATCTTGCACGAATAAACCTTTTCCATAGTACAGTCTTTTTTAAAGTTATAAATAAAACACCCAACCATTTTCTTTTTCCCACAGATGAGAACATTAAAACATTGACATTTTAATCTGTTCTATACAAGAGTGAGTTGTGTCAGCACACTGCTTCCAGCTACAACAACAGAAAAACCAAAGTTTAATTAAAGACAGAGTGGAGAAGCTGCATTGTGGTGTCTGAACCACAAAGATGCATGGCATAGTCTCTCACTTGCTCACCATTTTGGGCTCAGTTTCCTCTTTGGATAACTACTTGGCAGACAAAAGCTGATTGAAAAGAAAGGGGATAGAGGACAAGAAACAAATGTGTTTTCTCAGACAGGAAATGCAAAAGGTGAAACCACATGCCTGAGACTTTTATACATTAAAAATTTTACCCAGAAAACAGTAAAAGCATAGCACAAATAACCCTATCACAAACACATAGCAGAAGCCAACCAGATCCACATCAGCCCGGCCACTTCAATGCTAGGGCTTGCACTGATCCAAGCTTCAATGCTGTGAGTTCATATCCATTGTCACTGACAATTTTTTTTCCCTGGCAAGTTCCATTGGTATTCTATCTCTCACAATGAAACCACAAAATTCTTGGTTTCCACATCCAGGTAAGCAAGAAACACATTCTCTGCCAGGTAGCACCGAATGCTTCTAGCAGGAATCTTCCAGCACTTCATCTTCAGGTTTAAGGCACAGGACTGGTGCAGGAGGGGCACGGGGGGTGCCCAGTCCTGCCACAGAGAGGGTCTGAAGGGAACAGGAGGCTGCTCCACTACATCAGCAAATCCCTCCCTGCACTCCTGCCCACGAGCTCGAAGATGGAGGTTTGCAGACCTGGGGTTACTCCTACCGGCACAGGCTGCAGTGCACCCAAGGCCTCCCGCCGCCTGCGCGCACTGCCCAGGCAGGCAGCGCCTAAGTGAGACCCAGGAGGTCTCACTCGTCCCCTCCTGGGTCTGTTCAGCCCGGAGGAGATGAGGCTACAGGGCAGCCTAGCTGCTGTCTAAGGGGCAGTTAGAGGAGCGTGAGACAGGCTCTTCTTCGAGCTGCTCAGAGAAAGGACAAGAGGCAACAGAAGTTATAGCCAAGGAAATTTCAGCTACAGACTAGGAAGAATTCTTCAGCAAGCACGGTCAGAATGTGGAACAGGTCGCCTAGTAAAGTTGTACAATCTTCAGCTGTGGAGGGAGTTCAAAACCATGAGGGAGAAATTCCTGAGCTGCCCAACGTTAACATGAGTAGCACTACTTTGAGCAGGGGGTTGCACCAGGCATCCTCCAAAAAGACCTTTCCACCAAAATTATTCTACAATCATATTACCGATCTGCTTCTCACAGCCCTGCTCCTACACAAATAATGGGAGCAGGTAGACAACAACAAAATAATCGCCAATAACAAATTATGTATGACGCTGCAGCCTGGAAAAAATACACCTTTAAGACTCACATAGCCATGTGTGTTTAGACTGCACATGCTAATAGTTCCCAAATAAACAGTTATGGCAGCATCCAAATTCTTCATGAGAATAACTTCTTATAGATGATAGCCTTAGAGCAGCCCTTGTGCATTTATCTTTCCAAGTCAGCAATCTTACTTTTATATTTAAGTCTTAGAAGTAGTATAAAAATGAATGCAGACTTGTTCTGCACCTGGCACCTTCCAGTAGCCATCAGCTAGATGAGAACCTCTCCTTCCAAACCGCAAATGCAGTCACCTTGCAGTTTTTCCCTTGCTCAATAGGAAAGCCATAAACACTGAGCCATTTACTATGGTTTCATTATATTACCCAGAGGTGCTGTGTCATATTTGTTTATTAACACACATGTCAAAACCACTACAAACAGGAATATCAATGGAGTAACAGAGTGTTTTCTGTATTAGAAGTGAGACTCATAATTTCCAAGTTCATTTTGTTAGCATTTCACATCCAAATTTCCTCTCCAAATACCTAGAGATCTCTTAGTAATATGCCCTTTCTCAAAAAAAAAAAAAGCCAGTTCCTAACATTGTCACTCATTGGCTGGAGAAGAATATTGCTAATAATTGATCCTGCACTCTCAAAACTTCACTTCCACAGTAAAAGGACAACAGTTTAGGCTAGCTGATATCCCTAGGGTAGGAGATAAGTCAAAGTGAATAAGAATAGTTGCGTAAATAGAAACAAAATGGGAAGTGGATATGAAACCAAAAAGTAAGTATAGTAAGACTGTTCTTCACTATAAGGATCAGCATCTACTAGTGTTTGAAAAACTCCATACCAGCCTAGTTCCAGTTAAATGAAGCTATAATTATCTAGTCCAAAACATAAATCTAGAGTGTAATAGGTATAACTCAAACTGTGCTAGGCAGGTTACAATCTATCATCCCAAATTTGAAAGAAAAGCTTTTTAGCTGGCAGGCAGAATAAACAGTGATACAGATGAAGATGCAAAGGTAGGGAAAAAAAATTATTCCCCTCAAACTTTTATGAGTAGGTTTATAAAATTCTTTCCTGCCCCATCTGTCACACAGAATAGGAAAGATATTTCCATCGAAGAAAACCTATTCACATTCTTGACCAGTTTCTCAACAAAACCCAAAACTCCAACAAACTACCTAACAACCAAACCACCCCCCCTCCACACACAAAACAACCCAGCTCTCATTAAGACACTTAAAGAATAGCCAAATTTTCAAACTAACACAGCATACTGGATGCATGTTGACTGCCAAGCTTCTTTGAAAATTTGGCACAATTACAGATGCCAAGCTTGGAAGTTGATTTATACACCTGCTTTCCTCAGCAGATGGGCATATTTCACTGTATTTCCATTTTCAAGCATGTCTGTAATGTGTGTCAACTTTGCAATTTTTTTCTGTGCAAAAGCACCATAGTATAAACTTGACAGTTGTGAATGTTAATTATGAAGGAATTTCCAAGAGTGCTTTCTCCATCTACTTCTCAAAGAGTTAAAAAAATCCTAAGAAAGTCAGTGAATCCAAGTAGAGACTTCAGAAGTCCTTTCAGACAATCAAAAGCAGGATTTTCCAAGCAGGCAGCTGTAGTTCATTAGATCCGCCATGGACCGTGAAAGCCACTTGCCAATAGTGTCGAAAGACTATTACTCATTTCAATCTCTCTGAAGAGGACAGCACTCTGACACAGTGTTAGTGAAAAACACAGAGTTTGGGGCTCTGCCTGGAACAGCTAATCATGCAGACGGAAGTTCAATACTTAACATGAAGCTGAATTGCAAAGGCAGATTGACATCACAGCTTTTCACCTTCAGATATCTGAGCTTTCATCTAGATTATAAATGGAAAATTGTTTTGGAAGTAAAACTAAGATGGCCATGAGGGTGATAATCATACCATAAAACCCGGCAGAAGCCTATTTCTGAACAGCAAGATTCTGCACCCCTTTGAGACTTGCTAATCTGCAATTGACAGGAACAA